AGTACACAATGCTTGGAGTTTTAGGTGGCTAGGTGCATTCTACCCTTAAATAGAATATATAAATTTATTTAAGCAATGTCCTGGATAAAAAAAAAAATTATTTGTTCATTTATTTATTCTCACCATTTGTGGACTGCCCATAAAGCTTTCATTTCATAGAGAGGTTTCAGTCAGATGTATAAATGTGATTGTAATCAGCTCTGTAGGTGTACTTCCAGAGCCATGCCCTGACAGGTTGTTTTGTCAAGTGGTTAGACTACCACAATAATATCTTTCAGTCTGAGCTCCCTTAAAGGCAAGAATAGACATTAAGTGCTAAATAAGCTCATCAGAAACCTTATTCATCACTGGAGTACATATTAATGTATTCATTACTCAGGAAACAAAGAAATCCTATATATGTGATGCATTTTTGTTACTGACAGATGACGACAAAAGATTTCAGGTTCATTCAGTGTTCAGGATACCAAGAATTTGTCATATCTGCTTAAAGGATTAAATTTTAGTACCGCATCAAATACTGTATTACTGTGGTCAGATAATAGGGCTCCATAAGCCACCTTAAAATGATTAAATGCTTCCCTTCATCTTATGCCACTTCACTCTCCAAACTCCATCTGTCCTGAACAGCAATCCACCCACTGAACATGTAAAATCCAAAACCTTCTATCCCATTCATACTGAAATTCCTATTCAGTCTCTCAATGCACTAGATATAAGTCTACTGTAATAACCACATATATCAAATAATAAGTTATTTTTCTACATTTCAGTACTTGTTATAAATATTTTATTTCTACTTCTCCAACCTAATTTGCAATTCACATATATTTCCTCGTAATTCTGTCATATTTCCTTTTTATAGCCATAAGCCGTATTTCTACTTTATCATTTCCTTTTAACTACCCTGGAAGACCTTTCCATATTTCAATTACCTGCAGACTCCCAGTCCTGCAGCATAGTCTTAAAACAAAACTGAAGTATTGATGCACTCCTCCGCATATTAATTCTGATTATTATTAGAATACTATTGGAGTATAGGTATGCTGGAACCTTCTGAAGCTTCCTTGACACATCAAGGCTCTCATCTTTCATCTAGTGAAGTCCATGACTGATCAAAAGCCAGACTGAACCCACTGTAAGCATATACTTCAGTGTAATGAAAATGATACTTGCAGCCTTTCACATACTTTTTCCTGACAGTGTTTTGGTGTAAAAGTATATTTGCCCTATATACATCCTGCTATTAATCTGAGAAAGCTACCACAGCATGTGCTCTACTGTCCTTTTCCAACTTCCATTTTTCCACATGATCGTGCTATTTGACAAGGAAGAAAGGTCTTAGAAAGTCATAATGACCTGCAAATTTTTTATGCCTCTTTTGTTTCTCCCAGCACTGCAAGCAACAATGTGCAGACCTTTGTACAACTGCAATTCCCCCAGTGAGAATTATTTCAATGTTTGAAATATGGGAAAAAAGTGCTTTTCAACCAATTAGATCAGGTCATACAATACAGATGTGGAGCTTCATGTATCTGAGAAATTTGTGTTTCCAAAAATTATGAAGTGGTTGACCTCTACAGAACTAAAATCTTGGTAAAACTATAACTAAAAAATTTCTAAGTAGCTCCTTATTTCTTTTTAGAGAAAAAGTATTACTGTTGTCATGTTAATCATCATAATATAAAAAATTCAGTTCTATCCAAGTCCTGGGCTAAAAGAGACTACACCACCCAGATATGCAGCACTAAGAACAAAAATAATCCAGAAATTAAGTAGTAGTAAACAAGAATAATTCAATTTACTTAAAGGTAAGTAATATTTTCCAAACAATTTAGGCTGGGTTATTTAGAAAAAATTATGTAGCTGATTTGCAACATCTAGAAAACATCATTGGATTTAACTGCAGAACAGCAATGGCTTCTGAATGATGACCTATCTAATTTAATTTGCAAATCTATTTTTGCTTTGCCTTTTTAAAGGATGATTAATAAACATAAAAAGCCACATGTGCAAGTATAACTTATATAGAAGCTATGTAAACCTGGAACAAAATAAATTATTCTATGATTTTTATGGGTCTCAGAAGAAGGGTCAGAGATAAAATCATGTTTAAATAAAGAACATTATAGAAAAGTGAAGGAATTACATAGATCAAAAGATCTTGTAGAGACAACATGAGAATTAAATTACTGTTTCTTCTCCTCTGAAATCATAGAGAAATGCCCTTTTAAAAAAGCAAAATGTTTGTAAAATTTGGATAGAAAAGTATGAGTTGAATGAGAAAAAAGAGAATTTCTGTTAGTGTGCATTTAGCCTTAACTAAGAAACCCATCTTGGAAGACAAAACAGAAAAAACCTCATTTACATTGTCAAAAAAAGTAGGTGCAGTTTGACTAAAACTAGGTGAATTCCAGGTTCCTTCATCCTTCTTATACAGCTGCTAACTACAAGTTTGCTTCAAGGAAAAAGAGAAAAAACCCAAACAAACTATACTAACACAGCCCTCCAGTGAAGGTTTTTATATAGGTTTATTTCACAGCATTGTCTCAGGAAAAGGTATGCTGACCTAAGGTATTTTTAATCTTTCTCAAAAGTGCTCTGGCATGATAAAGCTGCCTCATGATGTGTGCTTGCACTCTCAGGAACAAGGTTCACCAGTCCAGTTCTGTTTCAAGAGTATCTTCCAGAGGTCTTATTCCAGGTAAAAGAAAAATTAAATAAAAGCAAAGGGAAGAGAATTTTAAACGAAGATTTAAATAAGAGAAGTAAAAATCAAACAGATATTCTTGTTCTATAGCTGCAGAGAGACAGAAGAAGACCCTGTGGAGCTACAGATGCTTGGAACAGCAGGGTGAATATAAAAAAATGGAGAAAGGTTTAACCATGTGCAGAAAGAAACCCATGAGCCTGCCAGAAAATGAGCTTCTTATTACCACTTGTTTCCCCAGTTCTTTAACAAAATGTTCACTTCACCAAGCCTTTCTCTTTCCTCCCTCCAAATCCCCATGATACATCCTAAACTTGTTGGCAGGAGGCATCTCTGTGCAAAAGGAAAACAGACAGTTGCAATTCTAACTGCTCTCTCTAACAACATAAAAATTTGAATCATTTTTCTTCTTTCTTTGAGTAATAAAGCAGAAAAGAGCTTATGCAGTTAAAAGAAAAAGCAAAACTAGCAATGTAAGGAAGAATAAGAATTTAAATAAAACAGCCAATTGCCTAATTTTAAAGTGAGAGACTCTTATTATACAAATATATAACTGCAATATCTCTAAACCAAAAAGTACTGCTTCTGATTCTGATACTATATTTTTCTTATCTGGGAAATAAATTGATATCTGGATTCCTACTCTGTTTCTACTATACCTTTCTACAAATAAAAATTTTACAAAAAATAATCAGTGAGAAGCTGTCAACTTAATCTTTCAGATTGTTCTAATCAAGAATTTCTTAGACTGACTTATAATAGACTGCTTTTAAAAGCTGACCATTAACAAACATTCTTCTGAATGCAGGAAAAATAATATACAAAAAATCCTACATTGCCATGGTAGTTTACAAATGCCCATAAGTATACTTTGAAAATTAATGACCAAAATAAATAATTTATTGGACACACTCACAGTGAAGTGTTTTCAGAGAGACACTATTGATTGCTACAGAAGAAAAGAAAACAATTTCATTGTAGTACTACCCTTAAATAAACACATGTGAGAGATTTATCTCCAAATAAGTACATCTTATTTTCTCTTTTTTATATTCAACTTTTATTTTATTTCTTCTTCCATAATTCCTTTCCTATATTCACCCCAAGGCACCATGATAATAAAAAACACAAGCTTGAGAAAAATAAACTAAAGAAAAAAAATTCTGGTTGATGTTTGACATTATGATTTCCTGCCAGGTTTCATCAGTCTCATCATGCCATGTGGAGTAACACAGTCTGATTGATGTTGCTCACAGGGACTCATCACCTTTCATGTGTTTGCTGAAGAATTTAAAGGTATCACACAATCTTTGGATAAAATTAATTCTTATGGTGCCAAATATTTGATTAAAAAATAATGATCATGACATCAAAAACTTATGAATGCATTTCTCAGTGGTGGGGATCTAATTCTTAGTGCCATTTATAAGTTGTTTTATTTTTTAACATAAGAGAGACACTTTGAAATCTCCTGTGTCAATTGTACATTTAAGATTAATTCTCTCAGCATTTAGTATTATGACCAAGTTTGAGCCTTAGCAGGATTCAGCATGACTCTCTTTTTCCACGTTATGCCTGATGGGGCCCTGCTTGCCTGCAGATTGCTGAACACCTCACTGCCCATGGAGAGCACTGAATTAATTTTAATTCCTTGTTTTGCATTGCTTGTGTGTGTGACTTTCGCTTTACCTATGAACTGCCTTTATCTCAACACATTAGTTTTCTTTTCAATTTTCGCCCTTCCAGTTCTCTCCCCCACCCACACCAGTGGAGGAGTGAATGCAAGGTTAAATTGCTGGCGGTGGTGAAACTGTAACAGTAACCTTAATTTCATTATAAACTAATATACCCAAGTCAAGGCAAGGTTTTTCAGCTGAGCCTCATGAAATCTTAATTCATATGGAAGTTAGACTTGATACTTTGTATACAGAAAAAAATAAAGGCTACCATATATATAATATTTTTTAACATTTTGAAGGAGCGTTACCTAAACAAATGGTACACACACCACAAAACAATACCTAATGGTAACATATAAAGCCAAAACACAGTGGTAAGTGTGACGTGTACCACAGTTGATCCTGCAGAATTTAAATTTAAATCTGCCTTTAGAGGAATTGATATTTAGATTATGCAATATCTTCTGGTTGGTCAAACAATCTCTGATAATGAGAAGATGTTTTCTTCTCCAGTGGACTAAAATTGTGTAGAAGATCGATAGTTTAATTACTACTAAAGGTATTAAAAAATATATGTTTACATGCATTTAGAATCTGTATTATTACCTTACCTGTTACTTTCAGTCTGTCAGCTCCAATGACAATCTCATCTTCATCTGCAGAAAACAGCACTCTTCCACTGTCACTTGCCCTCACTTCAAATCTCTTACACTGAGCTTCCACAGCATCAGCCCCTGAAATTAAGGAAGGGATCATTACATCTAAGGTATTTTGTAAGAATTAATCATTGGCATAAATTGAATATCCAAAACCTATTGAATACATGATGATTTATGAAAATATTTGGCTTTCTGTAAGCCTGATAGATAACTTGCATTATAAAATACTGTTAAAATAGTTTACAGAAATAACTATGAAAACTTCTATTTCAGCATTATGTGGAAATCAACACTAATATTTAGAATGTACTTAAACACTGAGATCTTGAAATGCCAATTCAGACAGAGCTTTCTGGGGTTTGTTCAGTCTAAATTGCAGTTTCCTGCCAATGAACAAATAAAGATAATACATGACCTTATTCTATTAAGACACACAACTCAACACAGCAGAAAACAGTATTTTTCATTCAGTTCTATTGAAAAACTTAAAGAGTAAAATAACAAAAACAACCCAACAAAACAAAAAAACATGGGCTAAGATATCAAAATTTATGTCATATTTTATGAAACAATATTCCCAAATGACTCAAAGTTCAAAATCCTAAAATAATTGTGGAATTGGACAGATATATGGATTGATCTAATGGCAATGAAGACAGTTTGCAGGTACTAAGACTTTAAATTCACTATGCTTTTCAATTTACAGGTCTTATTCTTACTCTCCAGTGTTTTGTGTACTAAATTGTTTCTGAAAATTTTATTTGATTAATAAGTGAAAGCAAACATCATTTCTGAAAATGGTGTTGAAAAGCCACCAACTGCATATGGCAAAACAAGACATAAGGCAAGATACATTATTTCAGGGAATAATAATCTGAAATTTTCTCTATGATCCCTAATTAAACTTGTAATGCATCCCTGGCATAAATCTACATGAGTAAAAATTATGTGGAGGGCATTATGAATAAATAAATTTATATATGTTATCTCAGTTTAATAATCTGGTTAAAAAGTTTGTAAAAAAACCTCTTCCTGCATAATATGTATTTATTTTAATATGAAAATGCATAGTATCAAAATATGTAATAAGGAATATAAAAACTGTGATAATGAATTTTGGTCAAGGAATTGCCTTAGCAGTTCATAATTTAAAGAATCAGCTATGGGATCAAAACAATTCCTCTTACTTTTATATGTTTGTACTGTAAAAAATAATTGGCTATTTTTGATTCACGATGGAAAAAGAAAATGAAAAAATCAAAATACTTGTGATGATGCATTTTGTTGAATTTAGATATGTTTATTCTGTAAATGTGCAAAATGGTATTTTTTTCCCCACTCCCCTCCCCCACTGAAGTCTTTTAAAATGTGTTAATCAGGTTGTTGGCTTTGTTTGGAAAAAATATAAAATCTTTATAAAAAGAGGGGCAGATTTCAGATTTCAGATGCAGATGTTTGGGCATGCCCTTGTCCTGCAACCATAGTTATGGTTCAGGAAACCAAAGGATAATTACAAATAACTTAATACTAAAAAGTTTCATCTTTATTTAAGAGCTGATGAGAGCTTAGCCACCTAAAAGAAAGTGGCATTATAAGTACTGTGACATTACTAATTTACACCCATCAAAGTTGTTAGCTGTGTAAGGAAAAGAAATTAACAAAAAAATGTGTCAGAAATCAAAAAGAGAAAAGATCTGCCACATTCTTAGTCATTATATATCACTCTAAGTGACAGCCCATGTTTCAAAAACGGCTTTTAAAAACTTGAGATGTATTTAGGATAATATAGGTTTTCATTAAAAATGACTTAAATAACAATGGTCTGGAACTTTGACTAAGGACTGCATATATTTTAGATGCTATTTGTGCTGCTCCAGAATCACATAACATAAAAGTACACCTAGAATTCAGCTAGTCCAAAATACCATTACAGGAAGCAAATAAATTTTAATGCTAAAATAAATGGGTTTTTACTTCATGTTTCACTCAGGACTTAATAGTGTATTACTTGGTATTCCTTATTGCTGAAATGGTAGTTAGCGTGTTCAAGGCACTTGAGAGATTACTAAAAAAACATAATACATGTTACATTTGTCTCTTTGACATAGAACCAGGTGTGAATGTAATAAAACTGGTTTAGAAAAGTTGAACTGCCTGCAGAGTACTCAGTGCTATCAAAATGGAATTCTGTTTCGTTTCATTTTCATTTCCCAGTTGAAATAAGAGCAAGCAGTTGCATTTGCAATGTATTAAGGTATTATCTTCTTAGCTGTAAAGCAAATTGCTGTGTTCCAAAACCACTCTACCAACATACACGTTTTATAAAATGTCTGAATTTTTAATGGTGCTACTAATAAAAACAATGTCAAGTCTTAGAATATTATGCATGAACAAAGGAAGTATTTTGAAATTCTAATCTCAAACTTGTAGAGCCATCACTATTTTCAGCAATTCATACCTGCTTGAATAATGCATACTTCAGTCCAGAGAATCATGTATGAAAATCTATCTTCCAAATTCTATTTGGAAAGGTAATTTCTATCAAATACATGGCTACCAGAAAAGCTGTTTAGCTTTGCTACTTCTTACTGTATTGTTATTCTACTTCATCCTAGACATGCAATTGGCTACATAACAGCTTTAATCAGGTTCAAGACATGTCTATGAAAAACTCCTTTCTCATCTTGGGTTCAGGAAAACTATTAACTTGTAAATTCAGATGTATAATGCTCAATTAAATTATTGTGTTTCTGTGAAATTCCTTTCATTTAAATTATATAGATGAAAAATATGTGTATCATATTCATATATACATGGTATGTAATGATGGTTTATAACACATGCTTTGTGCACAGCAGTTGTATAATTGAAATTATCTTAAAACCAGCTACATTTAAAATGGTACAGAGCCTAAAATTGTACATTTTAACTGTAGTGAAGACACATTAAATGAAAATTTTGGGCAGTACGTGCTGTAAAAATACAGAAAATTATGGTTCTGTAATCCAGATAAACAGTAATAGAGACTAAATTTCAAAATAAAAACTATTTTGAATTTGAAGAGAGTTTGACTTACTAATTAAGTAATATAATAATATGAAAAATGCATGTTCTAATATTTTTCATTTTAAAGTCAATGATTACTTACAGTACTTCATTATTATTATTCAGCAATAATAATTAGAACCATTGTTTGCTGTGATAATAAATAGAAATAAGAACTCTCCAGTCTTACAAGGTTTAGATATGATTACAAACACTAGCAGTGTCTGATTTCTCAATCACCTTCCACGTCCATCTGGCACACAGCAAATTCAGACACAGAAAAAGATAAAAAATCAACAACCTTAAATTGAATATAGGGATTAGAATTCAAATGGAACTACCACAAACTGATCCTTGTAAATAGGAAAAATGATAAAGTTTCTTCTGGTTCTTCAAGAAAAATGGGTTATTTAAACATGTATTAAATGCAGAGTTTTATGCAGAGTCTGGATGACAAAGAAAGTTACTTTTATGAGAATGTGTTGATGCTTCTGAGATTGGCAATTAAATAGATAAATTATTGTTAATAAAGATTCAACACTCATCTGGGTCTAAGATCAATTTTTGACAAGTATACACCTAGATACATTTTTTTAATATTCATAGGAATTATAAATATTATGGTATTTTGGATGGCAGAGATCTTAAAAACTTTTCAGTGAATGCAAGAGCAATTGTGCAAGTGAAGGATTTGTACCAGCTGAACAGAACAGAAGCACTGAGGAGTTTGGAAAAGAAAAAGAGAATTTTCAGCTGGGAGCAAAACTTCTATACAAGCAAAGATTCTCAACAACCAGAACATATTCTGCGTTCAGTTTGCTGAGGGAAACTGAAGGGAAGGGATCATCTTCATTATATCTAAAAAGTGTGAAAAGAGAAGGTAAAAGATCCCTTAGCTCTCTCTCCATAGTTGGTTCTGTATGTAGAGATGTCAGAAAGCTACTGTTTCTTGGAGAGGTTGATCTTCAAGGTTTCCTATTCTAATTATCATCTACTCAGGCAAGGGAAGCTGGAGCAAATGCTGGGTGAGAAGAAACAAAGCACATACTTCTTACCTTTTGTGGAAGTGAACAATAACATCTGTCAACGTAAATTATTAGAATAGGAATAAGGCACACATTATTATAAGAGGAAACTCAGTAGGACCATGTCAATCAGGCGGGACACTTCCTTCACTGTGACCTACAGACCCAATACTAGCCATGAAAGATTAGTGATATTGGTCAAATGACATCTGACAGAAAAGTTCTGCTCTCCCAAGCTGGTTTTACTTCTAGGAACTTTGTGGAATCCTAGAATCATTATGGTTGTAAAAGACCTCAAAGGTAGAACATTAACCCGGCACTGTCAAGTCCACTGTTGATATGGTATATCAGTTTCACTGCAAAACACATCTGAAATATTGTCTGTCACCTCTGCAATAGATAGAATACATCCTCCCTGCAATCTGTCTTCCTGGTGGATCTTGACATTGGAAGTTATGTTCAGCTGTGTTTCAGCTATGAAAATAGGATGTGGGAGTAGCATACCAGCAGCAGCAGACAACACTCTCCATCCTGCTTCTAGATGAGGCCACAACAACTCAAGAGCAATTCTGTCCTTTTCTGTCTACTACCCCTAACATATGGTAATTTCCATGAGACTCAAAAATTACATGGCTGAACAGATCAGATACAGCTGTTCATAATTTCATCAGCTATGAGCTATACTCATGGGGGAATGAAAGCAAAATGTGATTCTCTGCTTCTTGAATGTTGTTTGAGCTTTAAGTCAACACATTTATTTTGCTTCCGTAATGGTTAAAAGGATGTGCATTGACTGTAATTTTAGCTATAATATCTTAATTGCTTATATGGCTCCTTAGATAAGAAAGCCATACAAGACACAGGAAGATATGTCAGGCACCAAAATTTATCTGTAGGACCTCACACTGTATGTTTTGCTCCTTTTATAATCCCATTAAGGCTAATTTACTCAAAACATGATCTAGATTCATGAACTGAGTCTTGCAGCAAGTAAAATGACTTTCG